TACAACAAATTAGAAGGGAAATAAATTGGAAAATTCCAATCAAATATCATATTCTACTAGGCTGAGAAAGAAATGCATCTGAAACCTTCATTTAGATACAGCGGCTTTTCAATATAAAGTGACTTTTGGATCGGCCTCCTCTGTACCTAAATTACCATGAGTCGTCTGCATGGCAGTAGTCTTTCCTACAAAGAGGTATATGTCCACAAATTATGGCTTGAATTTGTGTAGCACCTCTCTCAAAAGACTTTTTTCTTTTAATCTGTCTCACCTGTATAACAATGTTTATGATCTGAAGGCCACCTGAGGAAATTATCATAATCACATGAGAAGAAATTGAGAGAGGAAGGTCAAGGGACTAACCCCTAATCACTAAGTTGAGTCTCTGACATCTGCTGACGTGACATGTGTTAGAAAAACGAAGTAAGCACTCTTGTTTCTTTAAATATACCTCTTTCTTCCAACATTCTCGCAGAGCTAATGAAAGGAAACAGAGTGATCAGGTTAAACCCCACACACAGCCCAGCTGCCGGTCACTGCAGGGCCACTAGGAAGGGACAAATAGGGGCCCACTCAGGTTTCAAATGGTGACTTAGTAAAAAGCTGCAACAGCCAGCCATGTGCCAAGCCCCATGACTGGTGTACATACTCCAAGTCACACTGCTCCAACAGCAACTTTGCAAGGTACCAGGGGAGGCAGGGGCTGAGAGTCCTGAGATTGGAGCTCAATTCTGCTTCCCCATTTGAAGATCTTGGCCAAGCACTTCGCTGTACTGATAAGCCACTGTCATCCACATAGACTTCAGGGCCACAGGAGGAGTGAGGGGTGTTGGGTGGAAGTGGAGGGGCCTTCAAACATACCAATTTGCAAACTACAAAGTGCTATGTAAATATAAGGCATGGGTTTCACACTGAAATCTGACTCCAAACACAATCTCTGTCTTAAGCTTCCTGAAGTCCCTGTAATCCTGTGCTTTAGGGATTCTTTCTGGGTCTCTGATTGTATTTAAAAAAAAAAATATTGGGGCCGGCCCGGTGGCACACTGCTACAGTGCGCCGCTTGGGAGCGCGGTGGCGCTCCCGCCGAGGGTTCGGATCCCACATACAGACCGGTTCCCGCTCACTGGCTGGGCGAGGCGTGGGGGCTATTCCTCTCAT